CGCTGAAGCCGAGTCGGACAGGCAGCTCTGGTCTGCTCGTGAGGAAGGCTTTTAGCGACACCGAACTCAGAGCCTTTGCCTGTGACAACAGGTAGATAATGACTCTGATATCGTCATCCCGCTCGCACTCGTCAAGAGCGTCAATCACCAGGACGACTTCTTTGACGCCGCCCGTACCGCCCTTCAAATTTCCCAACGGCTTCAGGATCAGCTTCTCAAACTGCTCTCTCAATGCCTTGCTCGTGACGGAAGGGTCATCCTCGATGGCGGTCCTGACGTGCGGCGCTAGATCAGGTTCCTTGGCAACAAGCTGTGCAGTGATGGTTGTAAATAGCAGGGCTGCGTTACCCCTGTCTCTCTCGCCTCTCTTGAAGAAGAAGCTAGCACCGAGAAGTCCTCTGTCGGCAAAAGATTGCGCAACCGTTCGTGAGATAGTAGACTTCCCGGTCCCTGCCATGCCGTTGAGCCAGAAGATGATCTTACCTTGAGGATTGTCGGCCCATGTCGTTATAGTCTCAAGGAGGTCGATTCGCGTTCGAGGGTGACAACGGGCGGCGTGCTCGTCCGCGTGAGAATCGAAGGTTGCATTGTTTGCGGTCGGGAGCTTGGAAAGGACGAGTGTCTGGCTGATATCGAGGACCTGAGTACTATACCTATGTGAGATAGAAGCAATCGAAGGAGGAATACAGTTGTAACTTACACTCCATCAACGGCGAGATCCACTGACAGTATGTCTCGATGCCGCTCCAAGTTCTTGATGATGCTATCGATCTCTTTGCTCTCAAAGGGCCACTTGAGAGCGCGAAATCCGATCCGGCTTATGGCCTTGCGCGCGGATCCAGGATTGAGTTTCTTCTCCAGCCTCAATTGCAGTGACGACAGCTGGGAAGAACAGTCGATGAGTCCATTCCGCAGGCCTTGCGAGGTTTGGAGCCTCTTGCCGTCTGGGCTTTCAAGGAGCCGCTGCGCGCCTTGTAGGGTCGTGTTCAACCTCACAACTTCTCCTTGCAGCCTTTCGATATCAGAAGGGGCATTTTTGACAGCAGAGTAGTACTGGGAGCAAAGAGATACGACTTTTGCAGACAGATCGATCACAGCGATGATGCTCGCTGCGGATCCCACCGCCTCCATGGCGTCACGATCCCGAATGGCTAGTCGTCAGGCGGAGTTTCGATTTACGGGGTGCTCCCAGATGCAGGGTATCGACTACTGTCAAGAGTGCAGTGTTTCCAACGCGTTTCGTTGGGCACACATGCAGCTTGAGCCGCCGGCCACGTGACACTCCTGGTCGAGCATCGAGCAACGCAAATGAACATGGTTGAAGAAGCGTCGAATGCCTGGATTTGGTGTTCTCGCATCATCAGCCGGTCTATTGAACACAAACAGGTCAAGAAGTTGAACATGTACGCAGGAAAGAAGGGGACTCGTTGGTGCTGGAAGGCAGGCCAAATATCATCAATCCAGGGCCCACGTTTGGTGGTCGGAACATGACCAGCAAATGTGGGGCCAATGCTGTTGCCTCAGATTTGTCTATTGGGCGGGCCAAAAACGCAGACAGTACGGAATCGGTAGCAGGCGCGAAAAATGACTGAAGGTCCATGCGCCGAGAAATTATTAGGAGTTGCTTGCTGAGTACCTCTCTGCGACAGTCGCATCCCGTCAAGCGACACACGTGATAGGCTGACCCCGCAGCCCTTAAAAAAGTTATCTAAAAAACCAGCGACACCCAATTCGCCTTTTACTGTATACATTGGGCGCGTTGAAGCAATGTGGTTGGTTGCCTGTTGCCATGGCGGCCGTCCTCGTTCCCAAGGATTCGCGGCGGTAATACATGACTCACTGTCCTTTCCTCCTTGAAGCTGCAAGTGGGCGGGACTGGTGACGATCAGTGGCAGGCTCACAGCCGCGGCTCACCATTAAAATGAAAAGGCAGAGCGTGTCGCTATGGTCGGTAAGGATAACCCTAAAAGAGTAGGGGTGTTGCAATTGTCGGAAAAGACCCACCTATATACCCCATAGGCAAAGGGGACGTACAGTATTAAATCAGGGTTCTTACCGTTGATCTTGCTCTATCGCCTGAGGACCTGTGACGAATCGTTCTCAACCACACTCTGAAAGGATTCACTGAAGGTATAACTTAAGAGTTGTGATTCGGTGAAGCCAAAAGGTTCACAACAAGATAATGATCTGGTCTCAAT